AGCGTCTGCATGGGCAGAGGGGCAGAGGCGGTGGTTGGGATGACGGGTGACGGATGACAGCCGCGACGGTGATGACGACGACGATCCATCGTGACGACGACGATCCATCGTGATGACGACGAGCCATCGTGACGACGACGATCCATCGTGATGACGACGATCCATCGTGATGACGACGATCCATCGTGAGGACGACGAGCCATCGTGACGACGACGATCCATCGTGATGACGACGACGATAATGGTGATGATGATTTTGACGACGATAATGATTACTGTCATTTGCGTTTAGCTCGTTGTCTTTAGCCCCCCCCCCCCCCCCTGCACCTCCGATTAGCACGGATGGCTACGTATGGTGCGAAAGAGGTTCAACGTACATACTGCCCATAGAATAACACTACCCATAGAATAACACTACCCATAGACTCAACACTACCCATAGAATAACACTACCCATAGAATAACACTACCCATAGAATAACACTACCCATAGAATAACACTACCCATAGAATAACACTACCCATAGAATAACACTACCCATAGAATAACACTACCCATAGAATAACACTACCCATAGAATAACACTACCCATAGAATAACACTACCCATAGAATAACACTACCCATAGAATAACACTACCCATAGAATAACACTACCCATAGAATAACACTACCCATAGACTCAACACTGCCCATAGTTTAGTTTCATAGTTTAATTTATTTGGTATAGCCCTGTGAGCCATTCTACTCTTGAATCGGGTGCAACCGCAACAAACAAAAAACATGAACAAGAAAACATCTTAAAGTGATTATGTGACTGTGCAAACAGAAAATCCAGGAAAAAAACCATCAAAATATTCCTGAAAAAGCACCGTACACCAACGCTGTGTGCAAAAAATCCCAGTGGGATGCAAGTCAAACAAAAACAACCACAAGACAACTAAGATTAAGGCCATCAGTCTAACTCCGTACTACAATAAACAAAAACATGTCCAAACCAAAAAACTTTTAGAAATCACCAAAATAAAGCCATAAATGCAATGTAACGGTGATCATAGGAACTGTGACCGAATTTTTAACAATAAACTACATAAATAACATGTAACACCAAACCCTAGAGCCACAGCTGGCTGCATGAGGCACTCCACAAACAACAGGAGCATCAGTCGGAGTATCACATTTTTCAATGCACCTTTAAGATCAGCACACTAAATCAAAATACAGATAATACTTTGCAGCGGTCATCCGGAGCGAAACATTTTATTTTATTTTAGGCCACTGAATGGCAGTGGCAGCTAGGGGTGTACAACTCCTCTAGAGCAGTTTTGAGTGAAGATCTCATAGGTAGTGATTCAAGTTGCAGTTTATTGGCAATAGCATTCCAGACCCTGGGGGCATCAATAGCAAAGGCCCTTCCTCCGGTTTTTGTACAGCAATAGGGAATGTGAAGCTGGTGGATGAGTGAAGACCTGAGGTCATTTCTAGATTTGAAGCTTTCGTGACTGCAAGGATCCATACTCTTTGGTTCTATTCGGTAAAGTCACGCAGTCTTCGAGACAGGCTGGTCCCTTCACCTGATGAAGGCCGCTTGTGTTGTGGCCGAAACGTCGTGATTTTTGTCGTTTTATTTTTTTACCTACGTGACTTTACCGAACGGAACCAAAGAGTACCTGAGGTCAAATTTGTTCAAATTTGTTAGACTCAACACTGCACCTCCGATTAGCATGGTTGGCTGCGCCCTGTGCTAAAGAAGTTCAACGTGCGTACGTGCTCATTCAGGAGGCGATCGTAGTCCCAGTACAATGATCGCAATGCCGGAATGAATCGACGATCCTTACGAGCGGCAGCCCAGCCCCTCGGATCTTGAGGGCCCCCCCCCACCAGCACAACCCCCCACCACAGCCCCCACACCCCCCCCCCCACTCACCCAGGGCTCTGATTTATAATGCTCGAGATGCAAGACTGTAGCACTGTGATAAATCCGATCGGTAATTTTGGTAATTTAAGACATTGCTTCGCTCTGTGTGTGTGTGTGCGCGCGCGTGTGCGCATGCTCCACTTACCGGCTCTAAGGCGGCAGGGCGACGCGGTGGTGACGCTCGCGCCTCGCAACAAGAAGAGTCTGGGTTCGATTCCCGACTCGGAGCGCATCTCTCTCTGTGTGTGTGTGGAGGTTTGTGTGTTTTCCGTCGCTCTCCCCGCCGCGGTTCTGCGTGGGTTTCCTCCGTGTCCTCCGGCTCCCTTCCCGTCGATAAAAACAAAACAACAACAACAACAGCCGCCAATCGTCACTCAGTAGCGCGGTGACATCACCACGGCGCTTGTGCCAGGCTAGGTGCACTTTAATGGCACGTGAAGTGTCGAGCGCCCGCTGGGCAGGAGGTCACGGGACAGACCCAGCAGGTGCCGCTGGTTGACTGAGATGACTGGCCGATGTACCACCACCTATGCCTCCTGCTGTGCCAAAACACACACACACACAGCGGAATTGGCATCAGCCAAAACCATCCCCTTTTTGCAGACATTTTAAACTAATATCTGCACGTTGGTCAATTGCAATCACGCAGCAACAGCAGCAGCATCGCGAAATCTTGGGAGGTGCAAACTGAAAAAAAGTATTGCGAATCAGTGAGGCTCTCCCGAGTAAAAAAAAAAAATGCGGAATAATAATGAAATCTATAAATAATCTATCTTTTTATTTTAGCAGGTAAAGGTCCACTGAGCTGCGTAGCTCTTTTTCAGAAGTGACCTGGCCACAAATGATAGCCCAACGAAGTGGCATCATCATCATCATCACGTGGAATATTATATCAGCAAAATACTCTTAGACGCGTGCCGTTGATTCTAAATGCGGAGTGCAAAAAGCCGGACGACCCGGGGACAAATCCATGCGTCCACAGGTGAGGGAGAGACATGCACAGACTCTTAATATACTGTAATGGGCATCCCCTGTTACAAATGACAGCGCGACGAAAGTGGCTTATCATCACGTGGAATTTATAGCAGCCAAATACTCTCAAAGCGTGACGTTGATTCTAAATGTGGAGTGCAAAAAACCGGACGACCCTGAGACAAATCCTCGCGACCACAGGGGAGAGTGAGAGATACCCAGACTCCAAATATATTGTAATGGGCATACACCATTCGCTGTGGCCATGATTTATGTCTCGCCTTGTGGGATATCTCCGCAGACCGCCACGATTGTGGGGAAATTCGAGGTCAAGTTCAGGGTCATGATGTCCGACCTGGTGATCCTGGAGAAGATCCAACGCGGTCTCATGGGCGCGCAAGTCAGAATCAAAACCGAGGTGAGCCGAGTGCCAAATCAACCGCCACCATGATCACCACCATCGTTACCATCATCACCATCAGCAGCACTGCCACCACGATCACCGCCATCACGACCTTCATCACCACCGTCATGATCGCCACCACCACCACCACCACGACGATCACCACCATCACTACCATCATCACCACCATAGCCACCATGATCACCGCTATCACTATCATCATCACCATCATCACCACTACTCCCACCACCACGATCGCCACCGCCACGACCATCATCACCACCACCATCCCGCGATCACCGCCACCACCACCACCACCACGATGATTACCACCATCACTACCATCATCATCACCACGATCACCACCACCGCCGCCACCACCACCACCACCACCACAATCACCACCGTCGTCACCTCCGCCGCCACGATCACAACCTGCGACACCGAGGCGGCGTGGTGTCGCAGGTTGAAGGTGCGTTCATCTGCAACCACCGTGGCACAAAGCAGGCTCGGCCTCCAATTACGGTGTAACGAATGGGAATGTAGGGAAGGTGGGACGGGGAGGGGGAGGGAGGGAAGGGTGGGAGAAAGGGGGGGTGGGATGGAGGGGGGGGGACAGGGAGGGAGGCGGGTGGAAGGGAGGGAAGGGGAGGGAGGGCATTCTCGCAGAGGCTTAATGAGAGTGGAGAATGAGCGCCTAATGATTACGGGGAACATACAGGCAAATAAAATGAGAGGCGTTGACACGGGGGATGCGCGACCGTGTGCGTCTACACACACGCACGTAGTCGTAATGCTTCTGAGATCTGAATGGACACAATGCAGGCGATTTGATCATCGGCAGGCAGGCCTGGGAGAAGCTTTCCCCTACGTCCGCGGAAAGCGTTACCGCAGGCTCGTCGCAAAATCTGCCGCAGCGTTTGCGAGGTTGCAAAGCTTCCGGCGCCATCGACGCACCGCGAAGATGTGAACGTCATCATCATTACTGTGACTGTCAATCGGTCGTCATTTTACGCGCCAACATCGCCCTCGGCGTCACAACAGCCGCCCGGTGACGTGGAGGAATGGGCAAGGGGGAGAAAAGGAAAAGCCGGTCAGGCCCATCAGCGGCTACGCCTCACGAGCCGGAGGCACATCGTGGAAGAGAGAGAGAGAGAGCGCTGTAACAGGATAAAATGAATCCGCGACAGAACGAATGATACATTACGTGAATGCTTTAGGCCCATACATGGAGTAATTGCGCATGACTTTGCCCATATAAGGAAAACTGGAACGGGAATCGACGTGTTTTTAACGATCCAATGCTCGATTAAACGAGAATCGACCGATCTTTAACGATACAAAGCTTGATCCACGCTTGATCCTTGCTCAAACACATACACAAAGGTATTAAAAATATTATAGCCATGCTTGAGCCACGCTTGATCCTTGCTCGAACATACACACAGGTATTCAAAATATCATAGCCTTGCTTGATCCACGCTTGATCCTTGCTCAAACACATACACACAGGTATTCAAAATATCATAGCCATGCTTGATCCACGCTTGATCCTTGCTCAAACACATACACACAGGTATTAAAAATATCATAGCCATGCTTGATCCACGCTTGAACCTTACTCGAACACATACACACAGATATTAAAAATATCATAGCCATGCTTGATCCACGCTTGATCCTTGCTCAAACACATACACCCAGGTATTACAAATATTATAGCCATGCTTGATCCATGCTTGACCCTTACTCAAACACATAGACACAGGTATTCAAAATATCATAGCCATGCTTGATCCACGCTTGATCCTTGCTCAAACACATACACACAGGTATTCAAAATATCATAGCCATGCTTGATCCACGCTTGACCCTTACTCAAACACATACACACAGGTATTAAAAATATCATAGCCATGCTTGATCCACGCTTGACCCTTACTCGAACACATACACACAGGTATTCAAAATATCATAGCTGTGCTTGATCCATGCTCAAACACATACACACAGATATTAAAAATATCATAGCCATGCTTGATCCATGCTTCATCAATGCGCAGAATCCCCTGCTGCAGGAGTCGAACCCTCACATTCTCTCTCCTCCAAACGTGTGCACTTTGCGTGCAGGTTGCAGCCAGCAACGCTCAGTCGCATCGGATCTCCGAGCTCCTTAAGCAGCTGCGGGAACGGATTGACGCGTGCTCCTACCCGCATGTCGACAAAGAGGCGAGTGCCCGAAACGGCACAGCTGGTCCCAGCGGGTCCCAGCGGGTCGCAGAGGGTCCCAGAGGGTCCCAGAGGGTCCCAGAGGGTCCCAGCGGGTCCCAGAGGGTCCCAGCGGGTCCCAGAGGGTCCCAGAGGGTCCCAGAGGGTCCCAGCGGGTCCCAGCGGGTCCCAGAGGGTCCCAGCGGGTCCCAGCGGGTCCCAGCGGGTCCCAGAGGGTCCCAGAGGGTCCCAGAGGGTCCCAGCAGGTCCCAGAGGGTCCCAGCGGGTCCCAGAGGGTCCCAGAGGGTCCCAGAGGGTCCCAGCGGGTCCCAGAGGGTCCCAGAGGGTCCCAGCGGGTCCCAGAGGGTCCCAGCGGGTCCCAGCAGGTCCCAGAGGGTCCCAGAGGGTCCCAGCAGGTCCCAGAGGGTCCCAGCGGGTCCCAGAGGGTCCCAGAGGGTCCCAGAGGGTCCCAGCGGGTCCCAGAGGGTCCCAGCGGGTCCCAGCGGGTCCCAGAGGGTCCCAGCGGGTCCCAGCAGGTCCCAGAGGGTCCCAGAGGGTCCCAGCGGGTCCCAGCAGGTCCCAGAGGGTCCCAGCGGGTCCCAGAGGGTCCCAGAGGGTCCCAGCGGGTCCCAGCGGGTCCCAGAGGGTCCCAGAGGGTCCCAGCGGGTCCCAGAGGGTCCCAGCGGGTCCCAGAGGGTCCCAGCGGGTCCCAGCGGGTCCCAGAGGGTCCCAGCGGGTCCCAGAGGGTCCCAGAGGGTCCCAGCGGGTCCCAGTGGGTGTCAGTTGGTCGCAGAGGGTCCCAGCCGGTGTCAGTGGGTTCCAGCAGATCCCATGCGGGTGTCAGCAGGTGCCAGCGGGCCGCAGAGGGTCCCAGCGGGTCCCAGCGGGTCCCAGAGGGTCCCAGCGGGTGCCAGTGGGTGTCAGTGGGTCCCAGTGGGTCCCAGCGGGTTCCAGAGGGTTCCAGAGGATTCCAGAGGGCCCCAGCGGGTCCTAGCGGGTTCCCGCGAGTCCGATGCCGAGATCCGAGGCACGACTGAGCCGCCAACACCTGCGTCTTTGAGAACAGCCGAGTGGCTCAAGGCCGAGTTTGGCCTTAGGCTTGCAACACTGTTAGGGACCAAGGGCTGTTAGCGATCACCTAACTCGTTAAATTTTGATTTAAAGCTTTCGTGACTGCAGGGATTCATATTCTTGGTTCTTTTGGTAAAGTCACGTAGAAGGGAAACAATAAAATAATAAATAATAATAATATAAAACAATAATTTTTTTTATAGTTTTATATATTTATTATTTTGAAAATATATAAAACAATATTTTGTTTATTCTTATATATAATTATTTATTATTTTATTGTTTCCCTTTTACGAAAGAACCACGAATACCTAACTCGTTGTTACGGTAGTACGGAGTTAAAAAAATAAAAAAATAATGCTGCCCTGAAAGGAAAAAAACATAAATCTATAATAAATTTTGATTTAAAGCTTTCGTGACTGCAGTAATTAATATTCTTAGCTCTTTCGGTAAAGATGTCCCTTCAACGTGACTTTACCGAAAGAGCTAAGAATATCAATCTATAATAGGCAAGGTTACCGGTAATGGCTCTTTTTCATAGCAGAGCGAGTAGTGAGGCCGGAGAGATTGAGTAGTGGTTTCAGGACTGCATAACGTACGTACGTTGAACTTCTAATCGGAGGCGCGGAGGAAGAAGGGCAACAAACTAAACACAGAAACAGTTCTGAAGAAATTAGTTTGTCAATCTGGATAACGATTTAAAAAGTGCATAGCTCCTAGTGGCTTGCCAATATCGGAAGGAAGAGCGTTCCAGACGGCCGTGGAAGCGCATCTGAGAGCGCCGCGCGATGCAGCCGGTGGCCACCGCCTTTTGTTTGATGGCCGAGCCAAAAGCCGGAGTTGGCATGATGGTGGTTTACGCTCCTTGACGAGCCCACCGAGCTATTGAGGTTCATTCGTGGCGAGAACTTTACACACCCGGTCGAGAAAAAGAGAGAGAGAGACGCGGTGAATGAAAGTTAGAGACTGCACTCATGCACACCGCGGCGGGGCCCTGATAACATTTTAGCTTCAGGATGTTTCCAGATGAACAGTCTCAAATTGGCTCATGAACAGTTTCCCGTCCGGTGGATACTTACACATTTATTAACGGACGGACAAACACGCTTCCGAAAAGGCAATAGCCCAAAGTGATTTTCTGCTCAAACGAGCGCTTACAGACCTGAGCTCGTGGTGGAAATTCCACGTTCCTGTGACAGGGGTCATTCCATACGCTGTTTACTTCACAGAGTGGTGCCAATTTTATCGACCCAGGAGGTGTGATGGGGATGAGTCTGACCCCTCCGAACGGGATTGTAACTCGCATCTCCCGCTTACAGACCTGAGCTCGTGGTGGAAATTCCACGTTCCTATGACGGGGGTTATTCCATAAATAGATAATACCGCTGTTTACTTAACAAACAAAGTGGTGCTCAATTTATCGACCCAGGAGGTATGATGGGGATGAGTCTGACCCTCTCCCGACCGGGTTTGTAATTCGCGAGCTTCCAATCGTGAGCTGCTCGCTTGACGCCGCTGAGCTGGGCGAGCGAACGGCGCAGTTAACACGTGGGGCTCTAGTTAATGCATTGCCCCGTAAGTTGGCAATAACAATCTCATGAGAGTAATTTTATTTATTGAAATGATACCTCCGATTAGCGCGGTTGGCTACGTACGGTGCGAAAGAAGTTCAACGTACATACTGCCGATAGACTCAACACTGCCCATAGACTCTACACTGCCGATAGACTAACACTGCCCATAGACTCAACACTGCCCATAGACTCAACACTGCCCATAGACTCAACATTGCCCATAGACTCAACACTGCCCATAGACTAACACTGCCCACAGACTCAACACTGCCCATAGACTCAACACTGCCCATAGAATCAACACTGCCCATAGACTAACACTGCCCAAAGACTCAACACTGCCCATAGACTCAACACTGCCCATAGACTCACCACTGCCCATAGACTCAACAATGCCCATAGACTCATCACTGCCCATAGACTCAACACTACCCATAGACTAACACTGCCCATAGACTCAACACTGCCCATAGACTCAACACTGCCCATAGACTAACACTGCCCATAGACTAACACTGCCCAGAGACTCAACACTGCCCATAGACTAACACTGCCCAAAGACTCAACACTGCCCATAGACTCACCACTGCCCATAGACTCAACACTGCCCATAGACTCAACACTGCCCAAAGACTCAACACTGCCCATAGACTCAACACTGCCCATAGACTCAACAACACTGCCCATAGACTCAACACTACCCATAGACTCAACACTACACCTCCGATTAGCACGGTCGGGTACGTACGGTGTGGAAGAAGCTCAACATACATACTATAAGATGTCAAATATTATCCACTGAAAATATATATTTAACTTACACATGATCAAAATGTAAGGGTGAATTACGAAGACCCGCAGGCTATTTCTTGATCGGTAGCTGTCACACTGCCAGTCCGTAACAGCTGCAGGCAGAAAGGTGACTCAGTGAGGATACCATCAGCGATAACACCCAAATAGCACGCTAAAAAAAAATACAATCATCAGAGGTGGCTGGGTAGCTCAGAGGTCAGAGACACTGAGCCGGCACCGCTGAGACGCTGGGTTCCAATCCGGGTTCCAGCCGCTGCCTGTGGTTAAACCGGGTTCTCTCGTGTAATGAGTTGATGGTCTCAGCCTGGTGATCAGTGACTCAGACGGAGACCCATAGACTCTCATAGACCCAGACTCACACAGAGACCCATAGACTCTCATAGACCCAGACTCACACAGAGACCCATAGAATCATACAGACCCGTAGACTCTCATAGACCCAGACTCACACGGAGACCCATAGACTCATATAGACCCATAGACTCTCATAGACCCAGATTCACATAGACCCAGACTCATAGAGGCCCATAGACTCTCATAGACCCAGACTCACACAGAGACCCATAGAATCATACAGACCCGTAGACTCTCATAGACCCAGACTCACACGGAGACCCATAGACTCATACAGACCCATAGACTCTCATAGACCCAGATTCACATAGACCCAGACTCATAGAGGCCCATAGACTCTCATAGACCCAGACTCACATAGACCCAGACTCACACAGAGACCCATAGGCTCAGACAGAGACCCATAGACTCATAGAGACCCATAGACTCTCATAGACCCAGACTCACACAGACACCCATAGGCTCAGACAGAGACCCATAGACTCATACAGACCCATAGACTCTCATAGACCCAGACTCACATAGACCCAGACTCACACAGAGACCCATAGGCTCATATAGAGACCCATAGACTCATACAGACCCATAGACTCTCATAGACCCAGACTCACATAGACCCAGACTCACACAGAGACCCATAGGCTCAGACAGAGACCCATAGACTCATACAGACCCGTAGACTCTCATAGACCCAGCCTCACACAGAGACCCATAGGCTCAGACAAAGACCCATAGACTCATACAGACCCATAGACTTTTATAGACTCAGACTCACATAGACCCAGACTCACACGGAGACCCATAGGCTCAGATAGAGACCCATAGACTCATACAGACCCATAGACTCATACAGACCCATAGACTCATACAGACCCGTAGACTCTCATAGACCCAGACTCACATAGACCCAGACTCACATAGATCCAGACTCACACAGAGACCCATAGGCTCAGACAGAGACCCATAGACTCATACAGACCCATAGACTCATCGAGACCCATAGACTCTCATAGACCCAGACTCACATAGACCCAGACTCACACAGAGACCCAAAGACTCATACAGACCCATAGACTCTCATAGACCCAGACTCACATAGACCTAGACTCACACAGAGACCCATAGGCTCAGAGAGAGACCCATTGACTCAGACAGAGACCCATAGACTCATAAAGACCCATATACTCTCATAGACCCAGAATCTCATAGACCCACACTCACATAGACCCAGACTCACACAGAGACCCATAGGCTCAGACAGAGACCCATAGACTCGGACAGAGACCCATAGACTCAAAGACCCGTAGACTCTCATAGACCCAGAATCTCATAGACCCAGACTCACATAGACCCAGACTCACACAGAGACCCATAGGCTCAGACAGAGACCCATAGACTCGGACAGAGACCCATAGACTCATAAAGACCCGTAGACTCTCATAGACCCAGAATCTCATAGACCCAGACTCACATAGACCCAGACTCACACAGAGACCCATAGACTCATATAGAGACCCATAGGCTCAGACAGAGACCCATAGACTCATACAGACCCATAGACTCTCATAGACCCAGACTCACATAGACCCAGACTCACATAGACCCAGACTCACACAGAGACCCATAGGCTTACACAGATACCCATAGACTCAGATAGAGACCCATAGACTCATAAAGACCCGTAGACTCTCATAGACCCATAATCTCATAGACCCAGACTCACATAGACCCAGACTCACACAGAGACCCATAGACTCATATAGAGACCCATAGACTCAGACAGAAACGCATAGACTCATAAAGACCCATAGACTCTCATAGACCCAGACTCTCATAGACTCAGACTCACACAGAGACCCATAGGCTCACACAGATACCCATAGACTCATACAGAGACCCATAGACTCATACAGACCCATAGACTCATAAAGACCTATAGACTCATACAGACCCATAGACTCATACAGACCCATAGACTCATAATGACCCATAGACTCTCATAGATCCAGACTCTCATAGACCCGGACTCCCACAGAGACCCATAGACTCACACAGAGACCCATAGACTCATACAGAGACCCATAGACTCACACAGAGACCCATAGACTCAGACAGAGACCCATAGACTCATATAGACCCATAGACTCTCACAGACCCAGACTCTCATAGACTCACACAGAGACCCATAGACTCACACAGAGACCCATAGACTTACACAGTACGCATATACTCACACAGAGACCCATAGACTCACACAGAGACCCATAGACTCAGACAGAGACCCATCGACTCACACAGACTGAGTTGTGATTAGATAGGGCTCTCAAGTGTCGTGAGTTTATGGTCTCAGGCCCAGTCACCACCAATTGTGCACTTATTGTGCCTAAATTCCAGCTCTGAGAGTTAACAATATCGCATACTCTTTGGTTCTTTCGGTAAAAGTCACGTAGGTATAAAATAAAATAAATCACGACGTTTCGGGCGCTTGTGTTGCGCCCGATACGTCTTGATTTATTTAGTTTAATTTTATACCCACGTGACTTTTACCGAAAGAACCAAAGAGTATGGATTCCTGCAGTCACGAAAGCTTCAAATCAAGATGAACAATATCAGTTTAAAATACATGCGTTCGCCACTCCTGTTAGCGAGTAGCAGCACCTATGAAGGCCGGCACAGCACACGAGGGGGTGGGTGGCCAGCACCACGCCCGGCCGCATTTGTCTCCCCAGTGGCGATGTTTACTACTACACACCGCACCAGGTACTCATTTGAGGCTGAGTCGACCTCGACGAGGCCCAGGACCGGTTCAGATAATCGTCACTGGTGTTGGCCGTGAGCACGAATCGAACAAGGCTCGCCAGCTTTGTAGCGCAGCGTGCTGACCGCTGCACTGCCACATGGACACGCGCACACACACGCACGCATGCACGCACACGCACTCACACGCGCACACACACGCACGCATGCACGCACATGCACTCACACGCGCACTCACACACGCACTCACACACGCACGCATGCACGCACACGCTTACCCGTGCATCCACGCGGAATCCTTAAACACCAGGCGACTCGTGGAAAGCATTAATATTTAAATTATCATGCGGCCACGTCGAAGATGAAGCACATGCAATGCTGTCCGCAGTAATGCCTGGGTGTGGTGGTGGTGGTGGTGGTCATATATATATGTTAATATCAGGTACACGGCAATTCAAGGTGGGGAGTGGTGGTGTCGCGGTTAGCGCTACGCTGCGCTACGAACCCGGCGATCCGAGTTCGATTGCCGCTCACGGCCAACACCGCTGACGATTATCTGAACTGGTTCTAGGCCCTCCCCTAGGTCGACTCAGCCTCAAATGAGTACCTGGTGCGGTGCGTAAAAACATCGCCCCTCGGGAGACAAAGGCGGCCGGGCGTGGTGCTGGCCACCCATCCCCTCGTGTGCCGTTTCGGCCTTCACAGGTGCTCGCTAACAGCACTTGTCTCTACAGTCTGTTACAGGCTACACGGGAGATCTTTGTCTTTGGTCATATATATATGTTAATATCAGGTACACGGCAATTCAAGGTAAAAAAATAGATTAATACACTCATTACAGGTGCATCGAATTGCACGCGTTATCGATTATCTTTTGTGGATACGATCGGAGGGGTGGAGACGCAGTGGGTAGCTCGCTGTGCTATGAGCTGTGAGGCCGGACGACGGCCTGAGTTCGATTCCCGGCCATGGCGAACGAGCGATATTTGAAATCGCTCCTGGCTCTCCCCTCCACCTGTCCAAAAGACAAAGATCCCCCGCGTAGCCTGAGCAGACTTTTGGGGCAAGTGCCGTGAGCGAGCAGCACCTACGAAGGCCGGCGTGGCGCGCGAGTGGGTGGGTGGCCAGCACCACGCCCGGCCGCCTTTGTCTCCCCAGTGGCGATGCTTACCGCACAACCAGCGACTCATTTGAGGCTGAGTCGACCTCGCGGGAATTCCCAGGACCAGTTCGGACAATCGCCACTGTCGGTTAGCCCCCGAGCGAGAGTCGAACCCGGGTGGCCCCGGGTTCGTAGCGCGGGCGTAAGCTGACCCACTTCGCCACCGCTCCCCAACACAACCCGCTGCTCCACTTGACCCACACCCGCTGCGCCCGTTTGCCATCGTCGGTGAAGTGTTGCCCGCGCGAAGTTACTGCCCCGCGGAACGCGACGTTACGCGTTTCGTAACAAACAAACAAACAAAAATTCATAATAAAGGTTTTTGGGTTAGATCGCGTTTATTTATAAATGTGTCGTAACCCTCCACCACCCGACACGGCCAATCAGCAAAAAAAGTGTCACGTTGACAAAAGACAAATAATTCACTACTTCAGCCCACCGGTGTGTTAAAGAGTTAATCCACATTTACAGTTTGAGTACGACGTTTCGCTGGTAAATACATCCAGCATCATCAATTGCTTGATGATGCTGGATGTATATAATAAACGCGATCTAACCCAAAAACCTTTATTATGAATAATATTGGTCGTGAAAGCCTACGTGTTAAACAAACCAACAAAAAGGCGCGCGGAATGGATTCGTGCGCTCGCCTCTCCCCCGTCCGTCGCCTTTCGAGTCACCGACTCGCTCGCTCGCTCGCTCGCCGGTGCGACGCGTTCCATCTCGTTGCGCGTCAGGCGGTGACGGTGGCCGACCTCCTGTGTCACGTGGAAGCCATCGGAGAGGCGGTGGAGGCCAGGAGTGGATACCTGGACTGCTTGCAGGTGCGTCCCTGTTTGTGTTTCCCCGTGGTCCGCGCGTGGGGAGCGTCGCGGTCAGCGCGGGCTACGGCTTGCGAGATTGCCGCTCCGCTCACGGCCACCAGCAGCGGTGGGGATTACTTTTGAACCGGTCCTGGGCCTCCCCCTAGGTCGACTCAGCCTCAAATGTGTACCTGCTGCGGTGTGTTAGCATCGCCGCCGGGGAGGCAATGGCGGTCGGCCGTGGTGCTGGCCAACCACCTCCTCGCGTACCGCGCCGGCCTTCACAGGTGCTGCTCGCTAACAGCACTTGCCGCAACCGTCTGTTAAGGCTACACGGGGGATCTTTGTCTTTGTGTGTGACAGCCATGACCCCCCCCCCCCCCAGAGTTATCTGAACAGTGAATGGCACCTTGTCCAAAACAGCAACAACAAACAGAATCAAATGTTTCGATTTATCTCTGGGTCATCCATGGTCGGGGGTGGTGGTGGTGGGGGTAGATCGCACCACGTGGGACATCCCCCACCACAACCACCACCGCCACCAAACGCCTCTTCGAAACCGCAAGCATTACATCTGACAGCGCGACGCGTTGGAGCGTGGGCACCCCCCTCCCCCTGTCCCCCCCAAGCGCAGGGCCCGGGGCAGTCGCTCCGATTCGCCGTACCGCTAGGGACGAGCTCTGGCACCGGGCGCCTTATTCAACCTTACTAAAACTATTTTTTTTTATTTAAAGCAGGTAAGGCCCGCCAAAGCCGCACAGCTTTTTGTTTCAGCAGCGACCTGGCCATAAATGATAGCCCAAGGAAAGTGGCTTATCGTCATCATCATCATCATCATCGCCGCGTGGACATTTATAGCAGCAGACGAATGCTCTGAACGTTGATTATAAATGTGGAGAATCTCAGCACCCCCCATCACCGCTCCCCACCCACCCACGACCACTGTCCCCTCCATTACTGCCCCTCACCCCACCACCACCGCCCCACTACCGCCCACCACCCCCCAGCCCCCACCACCCCACGCCACCACCACCCCCCACCCCAACGCCCCCCACCACCACCTCCCCCCACACCACCACCACCCAACCAACACCGCCCCCCCCCCCCCCACCAACGCCTCCCACACCACCACCCACCCCACTACCCCCCCCCCACTACCTGCCCCCCACACCCCACCACTACCCCACCGCCCTCCCCACTACCACAGCCCCACCCCCCCACTGCCCCCCCCCCCCCACCACCAGAGCCCCCCACTCCTAATATCCGGCAAAAAAAACACGAGGTGCTAACCGAGCGCTCCCTCTAATACCTCTTCCTTCCCCGGACACACGGGCGTCACGCACGCGATGACTTTTTAATGCGATCGCCGCCGTTTGAAGTGGGTTTCTCTTCTGCAGAGGGCGGCTATCTTCATTTGTATCCTATCAGTGGGGGGGGGGAGAGGGGGTAGTGGGGGGGGGTAGTGGGGGGAGGAGGAGCATCCTTTGTCGGTTGGGGTGGCCGAAGGCTCTGTCGCTGGTGACCTTCACGGTGTTGTGTTGTTGCTCTTGTTGTTGTTGTCGTCGTCGTTATTGTTGTTGGCATTTTTTTTTTTAAATGTTGTTATCGTTCCATCGTGTTAGTAGTTGTAGTTTTTTGTATTGTTATCGCTTTTACCGTGGCTGTTATAATTGTTGCGTTTTATTGTTGCTGTTACCGTAGTCTTTGTTGTTGTTGTTATTGTTATTATTGTTGTTGTTATCCGCGCCGAATTTCGCTCGTCGTGTGAAACGCGAAGACACCGCACGGCCGTTGCGCGGTGGGTGGAGCGGTGGCTCACGGCGATCAGCTCGCCGTGCCGTGAGCCACGAGGACCCGAGTTCGATTCCCAGCCAGGGCGAACGCCAGTGGCGAGTGATGTCAGAACCAGTCCTGGGCAAGGGCTCCCCTCCCACCCCCTCCTTCACCAACCTGCACTGACCAAGCGTCGTGAAGTATGGTCAAACAACGACCATGAATAAGACATGGCTTGGTGTGGGGGGGGGAGAGGGGGGGGATGGGGGGGAGGGGGGGGAGGGGGGGGGATGGGGGGGATAATTCATCCAGCAGTGGATTGATAAAAGGTCTAAAAATGGAAAAAAAAAATCGGTAACCCAACGATTCACGAGCGAAAATATACTTCTACTGCTTACCATACATCTTTTGCGTAACAATTGATCATTTATCACGTATGAACCCAGAATTGTGTACATTTTTACATCAGCACCGGGATGTTTTGGCCAACGCCGGCTATGTTGTGTGGTTGTTATTTCATTATTTTCACCTATGAGAGGAGGAGACTGGAGAACCGGGGGAGAGAGGGAACACACAGAGAGGGGTCCCGATTGGGAATCGAACCCAGAAAAAAACCAAACCAATTTCATCCGTAAAGCCCTCGTGTGCGAACAGAGCAGAGAGTCACGCTGCTCAACCAACGGGGCGAACGCGTGAACGCCGCTGAGAACAACGTCAGCGCGACTTGCTGCTCTGTCGTTTGTTTCCGCCGGGAGCACACAATGTAACCGGCATTGGCGAAACATCCCCAAATGCTGACCAAAAAAAAATTGACCCGAAAATTACTCAGCCGGGATGGCACGTATAACAGCAGCAGCAGCAGCGATAACAGCAGCAGCAGCAGTAGTAATATCGCCTAATGCCAAGTAAAAGTGGCAGGACCCTCCTGAAAATGAGCTTTAAGAACTCGGGGGGGAGTTACGGACGGGAAGTCCCGTTTCCGTTTACGTTGGGGTATAAATGGTCATGTAAAACACAGAGGCGGTGCGAATTTATTGCCTCGTTATACGCGAACTTGGCTGTCCGCGATTTTGGCTAATCCGCCGAACGCATCTGGAACTCTCTACGCGGCTGCAGTGTCGAGAGAGAGAGAGAGGGAGGGAGAAAGTGATGAGAGATAAAGTGATGATGCATAGTACTGCATCATCATAATTGAATGTAAGTTCATTTCTAAACTATTACTTAATGCGTTAATATTTTTTGCATTCACTTCATGTTCATTATAACCATGTTTTTTGTGTTATGAGAATTTTCATGTATTTTACATCTTACTCGTGTATTTATTTAAGGACATCCATTGTCCGCGAATATCGTCACCCGCGAGCATCTCCGGAACGAAATCCCTCGCGCGAATGACGAGGCAACACTGCAGTCATCACCATCATCAGCATCATGATAAATAAGAACAAAGCGCCGCTGAGCTTGAGACGCGTGCGCAGGCTGTGCATCACGCGGCAGACGGAGCGGAGGGAGACGCGGAATCGCCGGGCCCCAGAGCGGCCACAACGGCCGGCACGGCCGCCGCCGTGTCTCAGAAGCCGGGCAGCCGCGTGGGCTTCACGGGCCCCGGGACGTGGGCCCCGTCCGGTCGCGCCATGCGGCAGGCGGCCGACGACCCGGCCATCGCCACCATCCGACGGATCCTGCGGTGAGTAATGAGTGCGTCACCCCGTCCTCCCCGCCCCCCCCCCCCCCCGCACCGACACGTGGGGGGTCTAGACCAGGGAGGGAGAGTCAGCAACCAAACTATCAAGGGGAGACTTTTTGTTTTTTCATTGGTACAACAGCAACGACAACGAGCGGCGTCTTGATATTTCAAGAGGCGCAGCGATGCGTGCACGCGGCGAATAACGGGACGGCGGTGGGTTCTTGATAAATAAATGGTTCTTTCGGTAAAGTCACGTAGAATGAGAATAAAATAATAAATTAATAAATAAAAAATAACACAAAAAATTAATTTATTGTGTTATTTTATTTATAAATAAATTTATTGTGTTATTTTATTTTTTATTAATTTATTATTTTATTCTCATTCTACGTGACTTTACCGAAAGAACCTAAGAAGATGAATCCTTGCAGTCACGAAAGCTTTAAATCGATAAATAAAGGACGTCTCACGAAGCGGTAGCCTTGGAGATGCCGCGGGTTGCCGACCCCTGATCCCTAGCGGGAGGGGGGTGGGGTGGGGGGGCGGCATGGGGCAGGGTTTGGGAATCTCAAAACGTCACCGTTTTTGGAAAGTTTATTTTTTGCCTTCACGAGTGACTCGGGCTATGGGACGGAGGCCCCGGCTGTTGGATCTGATAGCCGGGCGGCGACGGCGGCGATGGCGACCGCTGCCGGCCAGAGTCCCCGGCGCTGTCCGAATCGGGGACCGCCGCCTCGGTGCCGATGCCGAGCGTGTCGATGTTCCCCCCCCCCTACCCCCCCCCCCCCGCAGGACTCAGAGGGCCCGGGCCCTGCCAAAGCGCGAAGCCGAGATGATCGAGGACTGCCAGTCGACAGCCACGGGCGCCGAGCGACGCCGTGAGTGATCCCCTTCCGTTGTTGGAGGAATCCATGAAGGGGGGACGGCAAACATGATAGAGGGTTTTTTTGGGTTATTTTGCTTCACGAAGCGTGATCGCTTTTGTTGTGGTTGCTCGTTTGTGCTTTTCGTGCCATCTCTTAATGTATTTGTACATTTTTTTATTTATTTTGCTTGGTAGTCGTAGGAGGGTGGTTTTCATTTGCTTGATAGTGGCTCTATATGGGATTAGGTCCTTGCAGATAATGCATGTGCAGCGTTACAGGATGCTATTCGGACGAATGACGCTGTTATTATAATTAAGCATCATCGCCTTCCGTTTCTCCGCCTCCGAAGAATGCAAAGTTGAAGAGCTCAGACGTTCATATTCGTGGCGATGAGGCACGGCGAGGGTGGCGGTGGTAACAGCCAGCAGCACCGCCGGACGCGCGTGACCCCAGAGGTTGCTGGGTCGACGAGTTTACTTCTGATTTAAAGCTTTCGTGACTGCAGTAATTCATATTCTTAGTTTTTTCGGTAAAGTCACGTTGAAGAGAAACAACAAAATAATAAAATATATAAAACAATAAAAAATTCTCACGATGTTTCGAGTTATGGTCGAAACGTCGTGAGAATTTTTTATTGTCGTGAGAATTTTTTATTGTTTTATATATATTTTATTCAGTTTAACACGTAGGCTTTCGCGACCAATATTATTCATAATAAAGGTTTTTGGGTTAGATCGCGTTTATTTATAAATGTGTCGTAACCCTCCACCACCCGACACGGCCAATCAGCAAAAAAAGTGTCACGTTGACAAAAGACAAATAATTCACTACTTCAGCCCACCGGTGTGTTGAAGAGTTAATCCACATTTACAGTTTGAGTACGACGTTTCGCTGGTAAATACTTCCAGCATCATCGGGCAATTCGCCAGAATGGCGAATTGCCCGCCAGAATGGCGAATTGCCCGATGATGCTGGAAGTATTTACCAGCGAAACGTCGTACTCAAACTGTAAATGTGGATTAACTCTTCAACACACCGGTGGGCTGAAGTAGTGAATTATTTGTCTTTTGTCAACGTGACACTTTTTTTGCTGATTGGCCGTGTCGGGTGGTGGAGGGTTACGACACATTTATAAATAAACGCGATCTAACCCAAAAACCTTTATTATGAATATATTTTATTATTTTGTTGTTTCTCTTCAACGTGACTTTACCGAAAAAACTAAGAATACGAGTTTACTGCTGTCACATACCCTGTACAAAATGCACACCAACCACTGCCCCCCCCCCCCTCCCCGTCCCCTACAGACCTTCAAGCAATGCCACCACCACCCCCCCCCCCCCACGTCCGTACGTGCCACCCGATTATGCACAACCCCTGCCAAGCCGCGCCCTTACCACCCCCCCCCGAGTCTTCGGGCCTTTCAAACGCCGAGCAGCACACAGACACACACGTGGGGCATCTCTTCACTTCCACCGCACACGCCTTGCAGGGACGACTGAGCCTTTGAGCCGCGATTTCATACGATTATGATTATTATGCTGATTAGAAAGTGATGGCATCGCATTTACGCCTCTGTATAACAACGAAACAGGAGGATTTTTTTTCCCACAATTCTGGATGTCACCCGATGACGCTGGTTGTAATTTCTGGCGAAATGTCACGGTACTTGAATTGTAGAATGTTGCGTGCTTACTCTCCAACACACAACCGGTGCGCGCTGTCCCAGTAACGAATTGGCCACGTTTCGATTTACAGCTTTCGTGACTGCACGGATTCATCTTCTTTGGTTCTTTCGGTAAAGTCACCGCGTAGAATGAGAATCAAATAACATTGCTTTATTTTATTGCTTTATTCTCGTTCTACGTGACTTTGCCGAAAGAACCAAAGAAGGTGAATTGGCCACGTTTTGTTTACGTGGCAGGTGTGCGGTGGCGGGTTTAACGACACATTTATATTTTACACGCTGTAACCCAGATGCCTCTATTGTGGATATAGGGGACCGCGGGAGCTTAGGCAACTGTTTGATAAGCACCCAGGCTCGTTGCCAGGCCGCTGCCTTCCTGCCCCCCTTGTGAATCGTTCCACTCACTGGGAGAGTAAAGGGGAAACACCGCGGCGCCTAACAAGTTTGACATCGTTGATATTATCGCCACGATGAGAAGCAAAATTAATTTGAACATTTTACTTTCCGCGCTATGAAGCTGTTGCTTACTGTTCATAGTTTCCGTCGTGCGCGACGTCGGATAGTGATCACGAAGTGGCTCATCGTCATCATCATCTTCATCGCGTGGAAATTTATAGCGGCGGGCAAATCCTCGAAACGCGTGGTGACGTCGATTCTCAATGCGGAGGGGAAAAACGGGAGGACCCGGAGAAAAATCCACGCGACCACGGGGAGAGAGAGAGAGAGAGAGACACACACGCACCGCAAACTCCCCAAAAAAAATATTTCCGCCTCTCCGATTAGCACGGTTGGCTACGCACGGTGCGAAAGAAGTTTTCAACGTGCGTGAATTCAACAGGCTGTCGGGACGAGCGCTGTTTGCTAGCAGCGCCTATGAAGGCCGGCACGGCGCAGGAGGCGGCTGGGTGGCCAGCAATCACGCCAGGGTCAGGGTCGAACCCACGGCCCTCCCGTGCACCGGGCGAGGCAGTGCAACGTCTCACCACCGCTGCCCGTGCCCCCCACCCCCCCCCCCCCCCCCGCCCTTGCCGCCGCCGCAGCTCCGTCGCGACACGCCACCCCGGGGACTCCCAAGGCCCTGCAGGGCAGCGTGACGGCACCCGGGGTCAGCGCTCGCCAGGCCAGGGCCAGGCCGGCACGCCCGGCGTCCGGCCAGCGAGCCTCATCCGGAAGGTCGGGGGGGTGGGTGGGGGCTCGTGGGGGGGGGGGGCTCGGGGGGGGGGGGGCTCGGGGAGAACCGCGAGACCATCTCTTTAACAGGCGATCACATTTTTTCTCTGTCAAATTTTTTGTCTATTCTTATCAATTTTCGTGTCTATTTTGAGTATTTTTTTTCTGTAATTTTTGTCTGTTTTTCGATGTTTTTTTTGTCTATTTTGTATACATTTTTGTCTATTTATTGGTCTCTTTTTTGTAAAAAAAAGGATATTTTTATCATTTTTTTGTCTCACATTTTTCGTCTAATTTTATATATATTTCTTAATTTTGCGTCTCTTTTTATATTTTTTTGTTTATTTCTCTCTTTGGTCTCTTTTTTTTTCCTCGCCGCAAGTTTATTTCGGTTGCTGCGAGCGTCTCCAAGGGAGACGCAAAGGGCAGTGGAGAATTAAAACTCTTCCCCCCGTTCTTAACGCCGCCTGCATTTCTGCCCGAAAAAAATAATGACGACGATGCTGATGGCGGTAGTGGTGATAACAACGATGATTACGGTGATGATGGCCTTGATGATGGTGATGGTGATGATGATGGTGATAATGATGATTATGGTGGTGATGATGGTAATGATGATGGGGATGATGATGGTTATGCTGGCGATTCTGGTGATGTTGATAATGATGCTGGTGTGATGATGGTGGTGATGATGATCGTGATGATGATGGTAATGATGATGGGGATGATGATGATGATAGTGATGCTGGCGATTTATTATGCTGATGATGATAATGATGCTGGTGATGGCGGTGGTGATGATGACGGTGATGATGATGGTGATGATGGTAATGATGACGGTGATGATGATGGTAATGCTGGTGATGACGGTGACGATGACGGTGACACCGGGGTTCATTGCGCGTCTCATTGCACACCAGTGCATCTCGCAGGTCGAAGCAGCAACAGCAAGTGGCCATCGAGAAGCCGACGGACGTCAGGTACAACGCCCCCGGCTCTCGTCGCGACATCACAGACGGTGGAACGGTGGCACAGTGGTGGGCGCACTGTGCTCTGAACCAGGGACGGTGCGGTCAGTTTGAGGCAGTGGAGGCAGAGCCTCGCCTGTCATACTCCAATGAAAATAGCTGTTACGAAAAAAAAAGAATAATCAGATAAAATAAATATTAAGATTTTTTTTCCACTGATCTGTGTTATAAATGTCATTTCTCTACGATTCCAATCATTTTTAATCGTCAAAATCACCAAATTTGCGGAGCTCCGCTGCAAATACAGGAAGAGACGAGAGGTGAGGCAGCGACGAGCTCAGCCTCCCCTCTGATTGCGCAACCCCTCAGTAACTGGATGGAGCGCGGGCAATAAGGGCGTGCCTGTTACTATCTCAGTATGTCACCAATGTAATGTTTGTAGACCCCTTCATTTCATGTCCTCGCCTTCCATACGCCAGGTAACTTAGTTCACGTATGTGTATAAAGATATTTAGGCTCTGCTGGTCTCGTCATGACACTGCAATGAAAAAGCACCAGGGGAGGCAGCTATGACATCTGCCTCACTGAGGGGGACGTGTTTAACACGCCCCCCTCAGTGAGGCCACGCCCCCCCCCCCCCCCCGTGAGACCACGCCCCCCTCAGCGTGTGACACTAGACAGTGCCTCCCAAGCCATTGACCTCACCGCACATCACTGCTCTGAACCCGGCGGACCGAGTTCAATTCCCTAGACGTGACCAACACCACCCTTGTGTCTGTGCGATTCCAAAGCATGCACCTTTCCATGCTTCTTTTACAAAGTTTCGTCCGTTGGCGTATGCATGCATCGTCATTATTATTATTACGAATACACAACGGTTGTGTACAGTTGTAAGAATGGTTTATTATAAAAAATACACAGGGGTGAGAGCCCCTCGGATTAGCGCGCTTGGCTATGTACGGTGCGAAGGAAGTTCAGCTTGCACACGTGCGCACAGAGCGGTGTCACAGTGGTTAGCACACTGCGCTACGGACACGGCCACCTGAGTTAAATTGCCAGCGACGTGGCTAACAAAGACAAAGGTCAAAGATCCCCCCCGTGTAGCCTTAACAGACTGTTGGGGCAAGTGCTGTTAGCGAGCACCTATGAAGGCCGGAACAGCACACGAGGGGGTGGGTGGGCAGCACCACGCCCGGCCGCCTTTGTCTCCCCAGTGTGCGATGTTTTTTTTACACACACCTCGGGGAGGCCCCAGCACCGGTTTCAGACAATCGTCACTGGCGTCGGCCGTGAGCGGGAATCGAACTCGGGTGGCCGGGTCCGTAGCGGCGGTGCGCTGACCGCTGCACCGCCGCTCCCCACGAACGTGGCTAATACTCACACACACTCACTGACACACTCACTGACACACTCACTGACACACACACACACTCACACTCACTCACACACACTCTCTCACACACACTCTCACTCTCACACACACTCACTCACACACTCACACACACTCACTCACTCACACTCTCACACACACACTCACTCACGCACACACTCACACACACTCACACACACTCACTCACTCACACACACACTAACACACACTCTCACACACACACTCACTCACGCACACACTCACACACACTCACGTACTCACACACACTGTCACACACACACACACTCACACACACTCACACACTCTCACACACTCACACATACTCACTCACACTCACTCCGTAGAACGGGGGGGAGGGGGGGGAGAAACGTAGCAAACTCCACGCAGAAAGGCACCCGAGTCGGGAGTCGAACCCGGTTGAATTGTGGGTCGTCTGGATTTGAGTTGTGCAGCTGATGCTTTGTGACCCTCCCCCCCCCCTCTCCTCCCCCCTCTCCTCCCCCCCTCTCCTCTCCCCCTCTGCTCCCTCTCTCTCCTCCCCCCGTGTCCTCTCCTCCCTCCCTCTCTCAGCCACTTCGAAGGGAAGATCGATGAGATTCTCTGGGAGACGTACGATCCACTTTGCACAGCTATCGAGGTAACAGCTTTGCCACGCGACATTGGTGGGAGGCTTGGGTGGAGCGACCGGGTCTCCACCGAGAATAATTATAGTAATAATGATGATGATTATTTTACAATCGGCGTGAGCCGGTGCTAATCAACAATTTCCCAAGCTCTGCAGTCCTGTATGTATTAAGTCATCTTTTGGGCCAATTAACGAATGAGTGTTTACATGTGGGGAGGAAACCGGAGAAATTATAGCCCTTGGTCAATCCGCTGCCGGACGAAGGACTCCGCATGGGAGCTGTTTTGACCATCCTACATCGCACTGGTGGGCGCGGGTCGATGTTAGTCGTGGTCGGGAATCGAACGCAGGCCGCCGGGCTAACGGTGCGGTGCGCTAACTCCAGCGCCACGGCACCGTCCTGGCCGCCGCCGCAGGCACGTCGAACTCTTTTCGCCGGGCGCGACGTCGGATCGTCCCGCACCTCCTATCGGCGCGGTTGGCTACGTGCGGTGCGAAAGAAGTTCAGCACGCACGCGTGATCGGCGTTCAGTCGGCCAGGAACAGACCTCACCCGGCCAGTTCCTGAATTAGGCCACGTGGAGCGAAATGTGGGACATGGTGCCGAGCGACAACCCCGTGACCTTTCGTCCGGTCGCCCACATCCCCACCCCGTTCCCGTTCCTGCCTCTGTGCTTGCGTCATCACCACCGTCGCCGCCGCTTTCGGTGGTGCTCAGGACTACTATGGCCTCTACAAGCGCAAGGATCGGCGCGGCGGAATCCCGCGGCCCCTGGCGCTGCTGCCGGTGAGCGCCGAGCGGTGCGCAGACGGCCTGGCGTTGAAGCTGGAGGCGTACCGCGGCCAGGCCCGCGGCTACCGTGACCACTGCGTCGCAGGTGAGGGCGCCGCCACCGCCATCGCCGCCATCGCCACCGCCACCACTGCCTCCACCACCATCACCACCATCCACTACCGCCACCACTGCCTCCACCACCATCCACTACCATCCACTACCACCACCACTGCCTCCACTACCGCCACCATCAGCGCCACCGCCACCATCAGCGCCATCGCCATCACCACCACCGCCGCCACCACTACCGCCACCACCACCGCCACCACCGCCACCACCGCCGCCATCACCACCACTGCCACCACCACCACCGCTACTACCGCGGCCATCCCTACCACCGCCGTCATCACCTCCACCACCACCACCGACCTATGAGTCTCTGTGAGTCTCTATTAGTCTGGATCTCTATGGGCATCTATGAGTCTCTGTGGGTCTCTATTAGTCTGGATCTCTATGGGTATCTATGAGTCTCTGTGGGTCTGTATTAGCCTGGATCTCTATGGGTATCTATGAGTCTCTGGGGGTCTCTATGAGTCTGGATCTCTATGGGCATCTATGAGTCTCTGTGGATCTCTATGGGTATCTATGAGTCTCTGTGGGTCTCTATTAGTCTGGATCTCTATGGGTATCTATGAGTCTCTGTGGGTCTCTATTAGTCTGGATCTCTATGGGTATTTATGAGTCTCTGTGGGTCTCTATTAGTCTGGATCTCTATGGGTATCTATGAGTCTCTGTGGGTCTCTATGAGTCTGGATCTCTATGGGTATCTATGAGTCTCTGGAGGTCTCTATTAGTCTGGATCTCTATGGGTATCTATGAGTGTCTGTGGGTCTCTATGAGTCTGGATCTCTATGGGTATCTATGAGTCTCTGGAGGTCTCTATTAGTCTGGATCTCTATGGGTCTCTATTAGTCTGGATCTCTATGGGTGTCTGTGAGTCTCTGTGGGTGTGTATTAGCCTGGATCTCTATGGGTATCTATGAGTCTCTGTGGGTCTCTATGAGTCTGGATCTCTATGGGTCTCTATGAGTCTCTGTGGGTCTGTATTAGCCTGGATCTCTATGGGTATCTATGAGTCTCTGTGGGTCTCTATTTGTCTGGATCTCTATGGGTCTATGAGTCTGGGTCTCTGTGGGTATCTATGATTCTCTGTGGGTCTCTATTAGTCTGGATCTCTATGGGTGTCTGTGAGTCTCTGTGGGTGTGTATTAGCCTGGATCTCTATGGGTATCTATGAGTCTCTGTGGGTCTCTATGAGTCTGGATCTCTATGGGTCTCTATGAGTCTGGGTCTCTGTGGGTTTTTATGAGTCTCTGTGGGTCTCTATTAGTCTGGATCTCTATGAGGTGTCTATGAGTCTCTGTGGGTCTGTATTAGCCTGGATCTCTATGGGTATCTATGAGTCTCTGTGGGTCTCTATTTGTCTGGATCTCTATGGGTCTATGAGTCTGGGTCTCTGTGGGTATCTATGATTCTCTGTGGGTCTCTATTAGTCTGGATCTCTATGGGTGTCTGTGAGTCTCTGTGGGTGTGTATTAGCCTGGATCTCTATGGGTATCTATGAGTCTCTGTGGGTCTCTATGAGTCTGGATCTCTATGGGTCTCTATGAGTCTGGGTCTCTGTGGGTTTTTATGAGTCTCTGTGGGTCTCTATTAGTCTGGATCTCTATGAGGTGTCTATGAGTCTCTGTGGGTCTCTATTAGCCTGGATCTCTGTGGGTGTCTATGAGTCTCTGTGGGTCTCTATTAGTCTGGATCTCTATGAGGTGTCTATGAGTCTCTGTGGGTCTCTATTAGCCTGGATCTCTGTGGGTGTCTATGAGTCTATTAATCTTCTTCCATACGGCTGCTGATGTAGATGCAGAGCCAGCAACTTACAATGTCACATTCAGCCGATCAGGCCCAGATTACCGCGTCGGGCAGACAGCCGAGTAGTAGTGTCACGATCGCCATCTTCGCTGTGATGCCTCTTTCGTGATATTGAGGATCGGCGGGGGGCAATGCGTCGTCACACGTTTCACTACGGTCTCTGTTGGAGGATGACCACAGTCGCACACCACCACTGCTACTGGAGAGTTTTAACATTTTCCATTTGTGCATCTCGTACTCGTGGATGCGGATACCTGATTAATAATAATAATAATAATGGATAATAATTTACATTTATGACGTGCAATTCATCCAGGGATCTGAGTGCACCATGCACGGGAATGAGGAACCAATAATAGTAATAATAATAATCCCCCCCACCACTTTGCTCAAGAAGAGCACATGAGGGTTGGCACCACATCTACGCCTCTATGTAAGGAACGGAACAGGTGGAATATACACTCCACAAATCTGGCTGTTGCCTGATGAAGCCAAAGTTGTAATTGCTGGCGAAACGTCGTACTCAGATTGTAAATGTTGTGGCTTGGCTTCGCAATACACCGGTGTGCTGTACTAGTACACTAAACACTAGATA